CCGTGAGTTTAAGCCCCGCGTCGGGCTCTGGGCTGATGGCTCAGAGCCTGGAGCCTGTTTCCGATTCTGTGTCTCCCTCTCTCTCTGCCCCTCCCCCGTTCATGCTCTGTCTCTCTCTGTCCCAAAAATAAATAAACGTTGAAAAAAAAATTAAAAAATAAATAAATAAATAAAATAAAATATCATCATCAGTCTGGGCCTCCGCTCAACTCCCTGAGGGCTTTGGCCAGCTTTTGCAAGTGGTACCTGTGACCACTGGTTACATGTGGAACTCTGACCCCTGGGGTAGCTGAGGCCTTTTGTTTTTTGTTCGGTGATGAATGTTCATATTGTGCCTCGGCGCCCACTTGTTTCCTGTGCCTCCTCCCCTTGGCTCTCCTAATGTCACATGACTGTCACAAGCTCCCACACATGCATATCACACAGGTGTAGGTCAATGGGTAACCCCTGAAAAGCAAAGGGGAAAAAGGAGAAATGCTCTGTTTCTGAAGGCTGTTAGTGGGAAAGCTCCATGGTCACATTATGTTTTCAGTGTATGAGGGTGGGCCTCCTAGGTGGGTTCACACATTAGCATGGCACCTATGGCTTCTAGAGTGTCGGGTGTGGAGAAGGGAGGAGGGCCTAGAACAGGCCTTCGGAGAGTCCAAAGCACTGGCCTTCATACTCATAGCCTTCCCTCCAGGTACTCGGGGTGGATAGGGTTGGTCCCCCACTGCCGGAGAAGAAACTGAGGCCCAGCGAGATTACATGACTTGCCTCAAGCCACACAGCCGATAAAAACAGGAGGAAAATCTGGGTCTCCTGTCGCTTCAGCCAGGGGTTTTCTGTTCTGTTTTCTGAAACAGAGGTAAAATTCTTTCTCTCACCCTCTCTCTCTTTTTTCTCTGGTGTTTCTGGGGAGATGTATGGCTGGTTCCCAACTGCTTCGAGGAAAGCGGCAAAAATCACTCCAGCTAAGTGGGTTTGGGGCATTGACAAAGGAACTCTTGGCTTTCCAGAGGCTACTAATGGGAGCGGGGGCGGGGCTTAGCTGGGGACGGATAGAATCACTTGCAAAACCCTAATAAATCTGCAGGCCCAGCTGTTCCTCATCTGATGATCCTGAAGGGAAAGTGTGAAATAGTAGAGATGCTGATGGGCCTGGGGGGCCCCTTCAAAGGCAACCGGGTTTTCCCAAGGACCCCGGAGCGGGGGTGGGAAGTGTCCGGAAATGTCTGAAAGGCGTTTGTTACAGTTGGGAGGCCTAAGGCCCCCAGAGGCCATATGCACACGTGGAGTGTGCCTGGGAACGCCCCTGGCCTAGAAGTGCTGGAGGGGTGGTCAAGCCATCCTCTCCCAGAGCAAGAGAGAGTGGGCTGGGAGTCGGCAGCCCCGAGTTTGAATCCCAGCTCCCCCGTTCACGGTCTGTGTGGGCCTGAGTGAGATGGTTAACCTCTCTGAACTTCATTTTTGTCACTTGTAAAATGCGGATAATAATCCTCCCTTCGGGATTGCTGTGAGGATTAAACGTGCTAATGTATGTAAAGCTTCTGGTACAGGATAGGGTGCAATCGAAGTTCTTTCCCTTTCCTTCTTTTTCCTCTTTCCCCTGCCCCAGGGAATCAAGTGAGGCCCAGCCTGGGAAGGAGGAGCAGCCCCCCACCCCACCCCACCCCCACCCCACCCACACACTCACCTACTCTGCTGGGTGTGGATGGGGGTGGAGTCTTGCAGAGCAGGGTTCACACCTCCGTTGCCTCCCCAGCTCCCCTCCAGCCCCTGCAGGGGCAGGCTGGAGGCGGCGGGTGGGATTGCAGAGTAGTGTCCCTCCTGACCTGACCTTGATCATTCTAGGCCTACAGGAGCTGGGGGCGGAGGGGGGTGCTCAGTCCTGCTGGGACTAGAGGCTTCCAGAGAATGAGCCGTGGACCCCAAGGCAAAGGGCACCCTCTCTGTGGCTGAGGACTCTGGCAGGAGTTGAAAAGCCTTTAATTGGGTTCTGACTCCTCCATTCCCTAGGTGATAGTCACCCATCGTTCCCAGCAAATGGGCCAGGCACAAGCCTAGCCTCTGAGAGCAATTCCAGGGAGATCTAACCACAAGGACACCAGGCCCTTGGGACATCCTTGGCTACTTGGGCTCACACGGCCTAAGTCAGGATGTGAGAGCCCTGCATTCTCTGGGCTTGAGAATAGGTTCAAGACTTTCACCTGCTGGGGAACCCCACTGATTGGAGGTCACACACCTTCAAAACGCTAACACTCGTCTAAGAGTTATGAAGCTTGCCCAGATCATCCTCCGGTATTAAGCCCTGGTTTGGTGACTTGGCCCAAGTGACACTAATTGGGGCCTGTGGTTTTCTTTTCAACACTGTAAACAGAAAAGTATCTATCAGGTTAGAAAGATTAAGGCCAGACCAGAGTAAGGAGTTGGGCCTTTGCTGGGTTGACAATGAAAAGTGATGATATGTTAGGAGAATGATACACTCAGAATACACAGTAGAGAATTTTAGTTAGCCATGCATAGATGCTCAGGTCTGGCTCCTGGAAGAACCTTAGACCCAAGCCTGAAAGGCCCCAGCTCTGAGCCTCCTTGTAGGGTCTGCATAAGCTTCTACCCTCATTTGGAGATCAGATGTCCAAAGAATGGGGCAATGGTGCATGATTTTAGAAACTGTGGATGCGTTTGGATGTATGTATATGCTCGTATTCAGTGCATGTGCACAAGGCCCATCTCATTACGGAGTCGGGGAAAAAGATGCCAGCTTGATTTATAAATCTTGGGCATTTAGACATATGGCATGTAAACCTCTGTTAGTACAATCATGCTGAATCCTGCAAATGTTAGTGGCAAGACTAACATAAGAATGGCCCCTAGTAGATGCTCAGTAAACTTTGGGGGAATGAATACTTGACCCAACGCGCATAATAACTCAAAAGGAGGAGAATTGGCAGAGAATGGACCAAACTGGCCAGAATTTCCCAGAGACCAACTCTTCTGCTGTATTTCCAATTCTGTTGAGACAAACAGCATAAATTCAGTGAAGCCTGCCTGATGGGCTCTCTGCACATAATTCCCCTTCCTGCATTTGTTTTCCACTGTTTCCTGTCTTGGATTTTTCTCTTTCCTTGTCCCTTTGACTTTTTTCCAGCTCTGATTCCCTCCCCAGCACTTTCTTCAGTTGCTCAGGCGGGTTGTTCTCTCCTTCCCACAAGTCAGCAGCAGAGGTGAGGAGCCATGGGCCCTGCACTCACAGGCCTGGCTGGCACTGGGTTCACCTGGGCTTGCAGCCTCAGAGCAGATCCTGGTACTGACCTGGGCTCCTCTCTCCTTCTGGAAACTTCTATCTGGTTCAAAAACGGGCGAGGTCAGGAGACAGCAGGGTGAGATGGGGAGCAGAGGTGGTAGCCCTCTTGAAACAAAGATGGGTGGAGCTGCGGTAAGTAAATGTGACGAGAGCCCTTAAGCCACAGAGTAATCCAGGAGGGCAGCCCAGCTTCTCCCCTCCACATCACTTGCTGCCACTGGCTGCCTTGTGTCCCAGCCCCAGAAGGAAGTCCTTCCTCATATCTAACCAATACCCTTCCTGCTGTGATTCCTGCCTACTTCCTTCTGGTCCATGTGGATGATGCTATCCTCCTCATCTGTCCACTGGCACCTCCTCAGCAGGCCTCTCCTCCAATCCCTTCAGCTCACAGGCTCCGGGGAGTGAAAGCAAACTTTAAGAGGATGTTTAAAGTTTGGCTTCTCATCACCACATCTCAGCTGAGTCCATAAAACGGCCTTATAAAGCCCACTGGCCAGCCAGCTGCCCTCAGCCTCAGGGGCCTCCCTGTTTTACGACCGGCCCCAATTCAGACACCAGCTGGATGTAGGAACTCGCTGGCTTTTATGAAGAGATGTTAACGAGAAGCATCTCTTCCCTTCTGTCCTGTTCCGAGTCTCTACTCCTTCTCTCATTCACGTGCTTCTTCAGTCAACAACCATTTACCAAGCACCTCCTCGAAACAGGCTCTGGGTCAGGCGCTGGGGTGGGGGAGATCACAGGTCAGAGCTGGGGTGAGGGGTGGTTCTACCTTGGAAGGGCTGACCCTGCAGGAACTAAAACCTGGGTGGAACCTCAACAGTAGCTGTAGTAGCTAGATCACACAGCACTGTCAGTGTTTGTAAATTACACAGTAATTGTGAAACAGTGTTGGAAAAACAAACAATTACAGAGCGCCTGATAAGAGCTGCCACAAGATGTGCTCAGAGAGCTGGGAAGCCTTGCAGAGGAGACTCCAACTGTGCTGAGGATCAGGGAAGTCTTCCCAGAGGAGGTGCCCTTTGAGCTGTTACCTAAAGGATACTTAAGAGTTTGCAAAGCGGACAAGGTGGGGCAGGTGGAGGAAATGATAGCAAAGGTCAGGCTTTCTTTTGCTAAAGACTGGGCGTGAGGGCTGGGTAATTAGTGCTGGGCTCCTAGCAAAAAGCCCGGGAGCAACAGGGGGGTCAAGTCTTTCCATCTGTGAAATGGATAGTGTTAGTTAGTTAAATGAAAAACCAGAAGTACTAATAGCTGGCACGTGACTATAGCCTTTCATCATTTCTAGCCACTTTTCATATGCATTGCCTCTCTCTGTGCTTACAATGCTATTTTAATCCCCATTTTGCAGATGAAGAAACAGTCTTAAAGAAGTGCCATGACTTGTGGCTGGAGACCCAGCTGGCGAGTAGCAAGTGTGGAGCTTGTATTCCAAAGCCAGGGCTCTTTCTCTGGGTCAGTTTGGAGGTGCTTAGGGGAGTGCTGAGGGATGAAGGTGAGCAGTGGGGAGGGAGGAGCCAGGGCAAAGAAAGCATTCCCTCTTAGGAGCCTCTGTTTTGGTGTCTGTATCCCACTCCTCTCTGTGCACCACCTAATACTGGGGTGAGCGCTGGGGTGTGGCAGGTGAGAGAATATAGGCAGGTAAAATCTGAGATTCCTCGATTTCTCTGGGAGCAGGGGAAGGAAAAAGAGGACCCCCCCCCAAAAGTAGACTCACCTGGAGAAGAGTTCTTGGCAGCATCACATTTATAGGGGTCCCTAGACAAAAGGAAGGATTTAGGGAAAAGACACCAGGATCAGCCATGAGCCCCCAGGGCAGCCACTGTCTCTGGGTGGGTGTATTCAGGGACTGAATGCCCCCTTCTGGCTTGCCCTTGTGCCCTCCCACCTGCAAGGGGCCAGTCCAAGCCTCAGATTTGTATGTAAAACCCCAGGGACGAGGGAGAAAATCTGAACCCACAGACATACCTCCATAGTCAGATGCTCGGAATGGAAGGGGTGGAGGGAATAGGGACTCAGGCACGCAGCATCACAGTCCCAAACACGTGGAGGCAGTCGTAGACAAACAACAGCCTGCACTCATACCTGCTCACCTGGACTGGAACACACACAGCCCCTCTACTCCCACCCTAAACGCAGCCACACACCCCGCCGCCCACGACCCTCTTCTACACACAATCGAATCCCTATCGCACCCGCACGGGCCCACTCATCCTCACACACAAGTATAAGCACCACATGGGGCGACTAGCATTTACAGACTGCTCATACACACGAAAGCACCACTCCCCAGGTCCACAACAGTATCCAGGGCCACTTGCCCTCTCAGGTATATGACTATATATGGAAATAATGTTCACACACGGCCCTGCGGGCCGGAGATAAGGGACCCAGAGAGCACTGGGGTTTAAGCTGAGGTGCCCAGCAAGTGTCCCCAGCCTGGCTTCCCTCAATCTTGTCATTCTCTTCTCACCCCTTCACTCACTCTCAGCTCTGGCAGATAAGAGTTGACCTGACCGGGACCAGGTCTCCATCCCTATCTCCAACCCCCTCTCCCCTCCTTACAACCCCATAAGTGCCTGTCAGGACAGCAGGGACACATGTAACATTACCTTCCCCCTAGCTCTACCACCATGCCCAGTACCTGGGGCCAGAGAAGTGTGGGGTTAAGAATGGCTGCCTGTTGGGGCGCCTGGGTGGCTCAGTCGGTTAAGCGTCCGACTTCAGCTCAGGTCATGATCTCGCGGTCCGTGAGTTCGAGCCCTGCGTTGGGCTCTGGGCTGATGGCTCAGAGCCTGGAGCCTGCTTCCAATTCTGTGTCTCCCTCTCTCTCTGCCCCTCCCCCGTTCATGCTCTGTCTCTCTCTGTCTCAAAAATAAATAAACGTTGGGGCGCCTGGGTGGCGCAGTCGGTTAAGCGTCCGACTTCAGCCAGGTCACGATCTCGCGGTCCGGGAGTTCAAGCCCCGCGTCGGGCTCTGGGCTGATGGCTCGGAGCCTGGAGCCTGTTTCCGATTCTGTGTCTCCCTCTCTCTCTGCCCCTCGCCCGTTCATGCTCTGTCTCTCTCTGTCCCAAAAATAAATAAACGTTGAAAAAAAAATTTTAAATAAATAAATAAATAAATAAATAAACGTTTAAAAAAAAAAAAAAGAGAATGGCTGCCTGGTCCCAGGGTCCCTTCTGGTGGGGGACTGGGTGCCCCCCGAAGCCAGAAACATTCCCACCAGGGCCTCCCTCCTCAGGCCTCTGTAGGGTGGGCTGGGAGGGTCGGAAGGGGTGATGCCGAACCCCCAGTGGGAAAAAGGGGTGGCATCTTCTGGCCAGCAGTGTCTAAGTCTCTCTCTCTCTCACACACACACACACGCACACACTTACACACTCACACTTTCATACATTCTCACACACACACATACTCACACACTTACACACACATGCACACCTCCCCCACTGTAATTAAAACAGTTGCTCCAGCACCAGGGGAACGGCCGTGATTTATGAATGGGAGTTGGTGTAGAGAGATTCCAGCACCATCTGCTTGGAAGCAAACAGGAAGCACTTCAACGTGCTGCAGACCTGGGGGAGGGAGCCAGTTGGTGGAACAGGCTCATAAAAGCCCGTCCTAACGGCCACAGGTGCTCCTCCCTGCCCCCAACCCCAGCTCCCCTTGGTGGCACACGCTCCCCTAGCTAAGGCCATGCTGCCCAGAGGTGGCGTCGCGGAGGGAAGAGCCTAGACCTTCTAGCAGACCTGCGTGCAAATAGGGAGAGCTACTTACAGCTGGGCTCCAGTGTATTCTCTGTAAGATGGAGGAAACAGCAACAGACAGCTATAGTGTACTAAACATTTACCATGTGCCTGACCAGGTAAACTGTCTTAGCCCCATTTTACAGATAAAGACACTGAGGCTGTGGAGGTGAAGAGACAGCTCCAAGTTAATGCTAGTGAACCGCGGGGCCACAGCTTGAACCTGGGTCAGCAGAGGTCTCTGCTCTGAACCCTTTTTTCCCCCACAATGCTCCCCAATATAGAAGTATTGGGGATTAAAAGAGTTAAGTATTTTTAGTGCCTGGCCTATGACAGGTGCTTGGTATGCGTTAATTTTCTTCTTTCCAGGGATCTAGTTCTGGAAGCCAAAAGATTGAAAGACCAAGTAGGGAAGAGAGCCGGTGCGATATGCTGTGATTAGCACTTGGTGCTTTGGGCAACAGCAGCCATGTCAGGCCAGTCCTGAGAAGTTTAGAATCATAATCTAATGTCACCTACAAAAACAAAAAGAGAGAGAGCTACCACCTTTTAACACCCAATTGTTGTTGTACTTCACAGTGATGAGTTTTTGGTTGTATGCAGGGCTCATAAAGAACTGTCACCATTATATGGCCAATCTGAATTTAGTTTTTCTCTTCTTCCATTGTCAGTCCCCAGCGTGCTTAATTATATCTCCCCAGTAGTCGTTCTCAACTAGAAGTAAGATTCAGAACCACCTGACATGTCTAAAAATTCAGCAGTCCTGACCCTCGTCCCCCACCTGCTACCCCCACCTCCAGATCCCTGGGTGTAGCCTCTAACCTTGAAAGGTTCCCCACGTGCTTTCAGGGTAATTCCTACCCCCCTTCCCTCGGCCTTCTATTTGCAAGTCCTAGCCCTTCAGATCCAGAAATCAATAGGAATTCATTGACTCTATAACCAGAATGCAAGCTCCTCCCCACAAAGGCCCTGTCTTACTCGTCCCCACGGCCCCTTCAGAGGTCTCGCCTTCAAGAATGAAGTCGTATAGGAAATACAGACTCTTAGCAACCAACTTGAAGACTGGTGGACACACATGCCAAATGGAAGGACCAAGAATCTTGCTATCAAAGTAACTGATAGCAAGAAGGAGAGATGAGAAAGGAGGTGACCCCCTTTTGTGGGGGGGGGGGGCCTTGAAGGTCAAGCAGGATTTTGATAGGGGCTAGAGGGGATGAGGCATTTCAGACAGAGTAAGCTGCCGTGATAACTGGATACCACCATGCCTTAGCCTATGACCTAACACTCAGCATCTCTTGGTATTGGCTTAATTTTCCATGGGGGAGTTGAAAGATAGAAAAGTTCTTCCTGTCCCAAGGAGATGGGGAAGGGGCAGAGAAGGCTGGCAGATGGTATAGCTTGGTCCAGAACAGCCCTATGCTGTCAGTATCCCAAGCTGTAGTGCCCAGGCTCCTCTGTGCCGTGTGCGTGGCCCATTTTTCAGCATATACAGGATCCACAATATACAGGGGCCACAATCCACTCTACACACAGAGTCCTGCCCTACCACCTGGAGGGAAGTAAATTTAAATATTGGGGTGTGTATACACAAAGATTAAGCAGAGTCCTTCAGACTCAGAGAACAATGGAGGCCAAGAAGACAGTGAGCAGGTGAGCCTGCAGGGGGCGCCTGACCAAGCTGGGGAAAGAATCAACATTCCCCCACCTTCCTCCACCACCTCAGTCCATTATACTTCCTCTCCCGCTCAGAATCAGACCTCCGGGGGCCCACCGTCCAGCCAGTGTGCTCTTTACCCAACCTGGCCTTATCGTCTCTCCACCCACAGGTCACCCAACAACTTTTGAGGACTTGGTCACCGGCTCATAGGCTTCCTCTGCATCCTAACACCTGCCATCATGCTAGGTAACTTGAATGTCCACACAGACACCCCGCCTTCCTCACGTATCGGCTCCTCTACCTCCCCATCTTCAGTGACTTTCTTCTCGTCACCTCAGCCACCCCCACATACTTCCTGGAATGTCGCCTATAAAATCTTAAACTCCAATATCCTTCTCTTGGACCACAGCTTCTTTCCTTTCCTCCCACAAAACCTGGTCTCCTCTCACTGAGATTTCTCCAATTCCCGCCTTCTGTCTTGCTCATTCAACTGTGGGACCAGAGCACTGGCTTTGGACGAGGCACTCTGCCAGGCTGTCAGCTCCTTCCTGGCTCTCTTCCTCCCCTATCGACCTGCCTGTGATTGGCCACATCATTCATTCTCCTTGGCACCCTCGATTCCCACACCCCCTTGCCCTGCCTTTCCCAGCCCCGGAGGATTCCAGTCATCTGCTTTCTCCATCATGATTCCCAGGCTACGAGAAGGCACAGGAAAATCACCCAACCGTGCAAACTGGTGCCACTCCAGATTTATGGTCCCTGACGTCAGCCAAGCCCTCCAGGCTGTTGGGCCCCTGGTGGTCAGCTCCTGTTCTTAACCTTTACCATCCTTCCAGGCTTCCGGCCTGCCCCTGCCTCACATATACTCATCAGGGAAAATAGAGATCCTCCAACCAGACCCCACCCCCAGGTTTCCTCCGCTCCTCCGTTGGACTTAACCCAGACCCAACCACACCTATTTCCAATGCCCTGTTTTCACTCCACAGACCTCCAGCTCTTTCTCAGCTGCTGTGACACCACCAGCCTCTTCCAGACTCCTTACTTTCTGATCACCCCTTCCCTATCTCTGTTGCTCATTCCTCCTCCTCTGTCATTTGCCTCTGTGTTTGGTTCCCAGGACTCCACCTATGACGACTGGTCTTGCCCTGGCTCCTGCACCCCGAATTTTCTCATCTAAACCCATGGCTTCTTGCTCCAGTAGCTCTGATATCTGTAGCTCTGTGTCCAAGCTTGTCCTGCTGTCCTGGATGTTTGCCTATCTATCCTGCAGCAACACCAAAGCAGCATGTCCCCAACCAGGGCTCTTAGCATCTTCTTCATATCTCAAACCTCTCCCTCACACCTTCCTTGGTCCCTGGATGTTCAGCTATAACATCCCTGTCCACCCAGCTCTCCAAACTAGAGAACTGGGACTTGCCTCAGCTTCTTCCCGCCCCTAGCTCCATCCCCAGTCACCACATCCCATCCACCTATCTCAGAGATGGCGCCCAGACCCACCTGTCACCCGGCCACTCTTTTCTCCAGTCCCATTCAGTCGTTTGCAATAGCCTCCGACTGGTCTCCCTCCCTCCAAATG